TTGCTTTGTTCGATGACATATAAGGCAAGTGAATCACGTATGCGGATAAAGGTTCTCATAGTCATGAATAAACATGTGCTATCGCTTCATCACGCAGACTAACATGAAAAATGATGCTCATGATCAGAGCAATTCAAAATTGGACAGTCAAAAAGCGAAGATGAGAGGCATGATAAACGAAGAAAAGGAATCAGATCAGAGAAATCATTCTTGATAACATGAATAAAAATCACAAGCAGAACGAGCTGTCAAGAGAAGATAAGAGTCACGAACTGCGTTTAATCTGAGCCCCATAATGGCCGTAAAATCGCACATAGTTATAAGAATTAAGCGATAATGAGTTAAATTAGTGAAATATTATTATTGTCCTCGAGCAGTGGTGACGCTGCTGTGAATGTGAATCGTTGAACTGCATTTGAAATGAACCAGTCCGATGTTTATATATCACATTTTGAGTGGACTGAGTTTCAGTGGGATTGAGAGCGATCTAGAAGCGTTGAAAAAACACCGAGTCACTTCATACGGTATGTTTACAGTGGACAATCAAGTGAAAGGGCAATCAATCCAGTATTGAATGTGTTTGTTTATTTGAACGTGATGTGTGTGCATTGGGTGCTGTTGCCTCTTTGTGGATGGATTAAATGACGGCTTTCAATGTTAGCTGACTGACTGTCTTCAGTTGCTATCGAATGGCACAGATGCACTGGCCAAAACTGGTACTGTACATAGATAAATAAATTGCGTTCGTCATCATTGCGTTCGCTAACTTCAAGTGCTGATTTCTCAACGACCAACACTTAATCACAATACTTCAGCTGAATTTGTATAATACTTTTTTTCTTGCTTCATATTCACTTATCATTGTTCAAGTGAAATGAATTGAAGATGATGATGTTTGGAAGAAGTCATCAAAAGACCTCAACTGTGAGCTCACCCAAAAACCATCTATATGCGTATTTGCCCAGTGCATTTGAACGTAGGAGGGATATACTGTTGCATTGGTAAACTTGTACTAAAAAGTGACAAAATTAACTCAAATTTGAGTGAAGATGGCTGACTGACTATGTGTAAACTATAATGAATCCACTACAGAATGGATGGACTAAGTGTTTTTGAGCACTGGCACTTTGCACGTTACCTTTCGTTTTGTTTTCTATGTGCAAATTGCTGAAAACGAATCGAATCGAATTTGATGCTTCAATTAAGTTGTGCAAAATCTTTGATCTGATTGGATCACCATTGAGAATTTCGAGATCATCCATATGCATATAAAGGAAATCGTTTCATCACCGAATTTTCTGTGAATGGAATACAACGGCAATGCAGACAGTCTCCGATATTCGGGATTGCTCATCATACTTGAAAAAGTTTATCGTAGCATCGAGTCATTCACCTGTAACAACTTATTAAAATGTGCTCGATCGATCTTTCAGCAATCCGAGCTCAGTAGCTGCATACATCCGTATCTGTTGTAATGTAATGTGTATTTCAGATTGAATTCTGATGAGTTCGTAATGAATAGCAAAAATTTGCGTGCACTAACTCAAACAGCACTCTGTGAAGATGTTCAATTGGACGATTCAATTCGTTCATGCAGTTGTTAAACAGGGGTTCTGTTAATGAATGATATATGTTAGTGGTTCTCATAAGGGATGGGATTACCCATTTTGGGTAATTTGGAGATATCAGGGGGTAATGGACGGGGTCGGAAATTAGAATTTCGTGCAGTTATTTTATGATACAAAGCCACTGTGATGGCATTTTTTAACTTGGATTTGCAGATGTGGTCAGTAGATGGTAATACTCTTCATTTTCCTATTGTCTGAGTGTT